TGCTTCACGAGGGGTTTCATGGAGTGGGGTATTCACCTTAATTGCAGCTCAGTTGTTTCATGAGGGGACTCATGGAATGCGCGTTATACTTCCAGTTCGGCTGGGTCGGCGCTGTTGCTTCAGGAGGGGGTCTCATGAAGCGTGCGTCATGTAATTCACCTCGCCCTGTTTCTTCATGAGGGGTCTCATGGTGTGGTACTTCCCACTTGATTAGCTCGGTTGCTTCGCGCGGGGGACTCGTGGAGCGAGCACCAGTCAAGTTCGGCCTCGTTTGCGCTGTTGCCTCATGAGGGGTCTCATGGAGCGTGCGCTCTGGCATTAAAGTCGGCTTTGTTGGCACTGTTGCTTCATGAGGGGTCTCCTGGAGTCTACATGGACTTGATTATTGCTCCGTTGTTTCATGAGGGGACTCATGGAGGGAGTGTCGCAGTCTACACTGTTGCCTCTTGTGGAGCGTGCGTTGTGGAAATCATTTCCGCACTTGTTGCACTGTGCTTCATGAGGGGTCTCACGCAGTGGTATTTTCAAGTTGATTAGCTCGGCTGCTTCATGAGGGGGACTCGTGGAGCGAGCATCAGTCAAGTTCGACCTGTTTTCGCTGTGCCTCATGAAGGGTCTCATGGAGCGTGCGCTCTGTAATTAAAGCCGGTTTCGTTGGCACTGTTGCTTCATGAGGGGTCTCATGGAACCTCCATGGACTTGAGACTTGAGCTGCTCAGTTGATTCATGAGGGGCCTCATGGAGGGAGCGTCATATAGTTCAAGCTCGGCGGGGTCGGCGCTGTTGCCTCTTAAGCAGGGTCTCAGAAAGCGTGCGTTGTGTATTATAAATTCATGTCGACATTGGTTGCACTGTTGGCTCATGAGGGGTCTCGTGGTAGGGTACACTTAGCTTGATTGGCTCGGTGGCTTCATGAGGGGTACTTATGGAGCAAGCATCATTCCAGTTCGACCTGGTTTGCGCTGTTGCCTCGAGGGGTCTCATGGAGCGTGCGTTCTGAAACTAAGCTTGCCTTTGGCTCGACTTGGTTGGCGCTCAAGTGCCATGCGGTCTCATGGAATATGCGTTTATAAACCAAGTTTCACTTGGCTGGCGCCGTTGCCTCATGAGGGGTCTCATGGCTTGTTCAGTTCACCTCGAACGACTCGGTCATTTCATGGCCAGACTCAGTTCATGAGGAATTTCAAACTGATGGAGACTGGATTGGATCCATGCATGAGGGGGCTCATGAAAGGAGCATCATCGTCTGTGTTCGACTTCGTTGCTGCTGTTGCTTCATGAGGGGTCTCGTGTGATCCGCGCAGTCGCTTCAAGTGCTCTCTCGGAGCGTTAATTCAATTTGGCCAGTGCTGTTCCTCCGGGTCAATCTCGAGTTATTCAATTTGACTCGGTTGGTGCGGTTACTTCATTGAGGGGACTCATGTTGCGAGCATCAGTTCCAGCTCCACTTGGTTGGCGCTGTCACTTCTTGAGGGGCCTTCGGAAGCGTGCTTTTTAATACCAAGTTGGTTTCTTCCGCGCTGTTGCTTCACGTGAGGCGTTTCATGGAACATGCGTGCACATTTCAAGTTCGACTTGTTTGGCGCTGTTGCTTCATGAGGTGTTTGGAGCGTGCGCTCACATATCAAGTTTGACTTGTTTGGCACTGTTGTTTCATGAGGGGACTCATGGACTGCGCATCCACAACGCTGGACTTGGTCGGCGGTGTTTGTTCATGAGGGGTCTCATGTGTTTTGCGCATTTGCTTCAGGTGCTTCAGGGCGTTTCCTGGAGCGCTGATTCAATATGGCTAGCGCTGTTCCTCCATGAAGGCTTTCCTCGGCTGCTTTATGAGGGGACTCATGGAGCGAGCGTCAGTTCAGATCCCACTGGGCTGGCGCCGCTGCTTCTTGAAGGGCCTCATGGTGCGTACGTTCACATCCCAAGTTTGGCTTGGTCGCTGGTGTTGCTTCATGAGGTGTTTCATGGAGCGTGCATTCACACATCAACTTCCACTTGGTTGGCGCTGTTGCTTCATGAGGTGTTCCATGGAGCGTGCGTCACATATCAGGCTTTACTTGTTTGTTGTGGTTGTTGTTCAAGTGGGGACTCATGGACCCAGCATCATAGTCCAAGCTCGGCGCTGTTTGTTCATGAGGGGTCTCCTGTGTTTTGCGCAGTTGCTTCATGGGGTCTTGGAGTTTGGCCAGCGCTTTCATGGCTGATTTAATTTTGACTTGATGCGGTGCTTCATGAGGGGACTGATGGAGCGTGCGTCCGCTCAAGTTCCGCTGGATTGGGGTGCTGCTGCTTCATGAGGGGTCTCATGAAGCGTGCATTACAACACCAAGTTTGGGTTGCTCTGCTGCCTCATGCGAAATCTCCTGGGGCTGCGTTCGTATAGCAGGTTTAACTTGGTTGGTGCTATTGCTTCATGAGGAGTTTCATGGAGCGTACGTTCACTTTTCCAGCTCAACTTGTTTGGCGCTGTTGCTTCATGAGGTGTTTCAGGGAGCGTGCGTTCACATATCCCGTTAACGACTTCCTTGACACTGTTGGTCACGCGGGGAGTCATGGACTGAGCATCGTCTTCCACGCTCGACTTGGTCGGCGGTCCCATATGTTGCACAGTTGCTCCAGGGATTCTCTTGGAGCGTTAATTCCATGTGGCCAGCGCTCTTTTTGCTCCATGAAGGGTTTTCATGGTTCATTTATGATTTTGACTTGCTCGATTCGGTTGCTCCATGCTTCATGGGGCACGTGATTCGACTTGCTTGTTTGGTTACTGATGAGGAAACTCACAGAGTGAGCGTCATAGTTCAAGTTTGCCTCATTCAAGAAACGGATGTTGCGAACATGGATGTATTGGGAATACATTCCGTCTAAAAGTAACTGGGCTGATGCAATTTCAAGGCTCGGTTGGTCCGATCCGTGGTGGCGAACCAACGGATTCACCCCTTTTTTTTCCGTCACTTGCCCGTTCTGTCTATGGCACCTACCGCTTCCAGCAGTGATTCGTGTCATGGAATTTTTCTAAGTGCGTTGGGTATCCTTTAAAGTGCATTGGGAGTGGTTTCCGGAGTGACCGGAAGGATATCACAAAGGTCTGATTGTGAC